CCAAGAAATAATTGCATCAAACATCAAAAAGTAGCAGAAAAAAATGATGCAGAAAAATCACAGTATTTGAACAGATAGTCTCAAAAGGAAAATAAACAGATATAAGACTGAAATGAATTCATCAAGTTTGTGATCTAGAAACCTAGTTCAACAAATGCCAAATGCCAAGGCATTAATTTCATGAATGGTTTTTGCTGTTAACAAGAAGCATGATTACCTAGAATCTCAGTTCAGGGGCATTTTCGAATAGTCTGAGAGGATGGTACCTCAGAGTGAGATCCTGTGTGATGAAGAACCCACCTAGCTCTCAGTGTATGTCCAATTTTTTTATCATGCTGCATTCTAGTTTGAGTGAAAGCCAGGTTTTATGATAGACCACATTAGCAATTTTTAAAATGGGTCTTTCTGTAGCAGTGAACATCATGAGCAAGAAACTTCTTGTTAAGTGAAAAAAACAAAAAATAACAAAATAAAGCAAAAAAAAAAAAAAAAACCCAACAACAACAACAAAAAAACAGGGAAGAACTTATCACATCACATGATAGAACTTCTCCTCTGTTGTTAAAGTTGTGCAGACTACCCAGATTAAGAACCCTGCCTGATGAGAGACTAGGCTGAGTGCATTGTTGCATTCCTGTAATCCCAGCTACCCTGAGGCTGAAGTAGGTGGATTTTAAATTTGAGGCCAGCCTGGACAACTTAGAGAAAAGCTGTCTTAAAAATTAAAAAAATAAAATAAAAAGGTCTGGGGTATAGCTCAGTGGCAAAGTTCAATCTTACGCATCACCAAATAAATAAATAATAAAAGAAAGACACTAGAGGAAATCTGAATTTGGTATGGGGAAGAATGTATGGAACTCTTGTTTAAAAACAACACTGCTGACTTCATATGGTTTTCTAATGGACGAATATCCTGTGCTGTGAAGTTTTCTTACATTGAGCAATGACATGGTGTTTATATGTGGAGTAGTGACTTCAAAAGATGTGTTTTAGACATTAGGAAAAAACTGTGTTTAAAATGTGCATTGACAAGTTGTTGGCAACTATTCACTAAGAACACCTGGAAAAATGAAAACTCTTATACTCCATTCACTCAGTTACATTCATCAAACTCATCTTGTTTGGTAAAGATTCCCCAAAGGGCTGCAGATAAAAAAGCAGGACTGATGGTGACCCTCAGTGTCAAGATAAAGAGGAAGACTTGAAAAATAGCAGAAACAAGACCAAGAATAGCAAGGACATTTATGAATAAGTGTGTTTTTGTTTGTTTGGTTTGTTTTTTGGTTCTGTAAATAGCAGCATTTGGTGTTTCACATAATAGGAACATACAAGATTTCAGCACCATTGTATATTTAAGTGATATTTGCCAAACTTATTCAGTGACAAGAATAAGAATCATCTGGGACCCTTGTTTTAAAATTATAAATTCTCACCCCCCTCATATACACCTGTATTAAGTCTTCAAGGCCTATATTTTTAATAAGTGTTCCAGGTAATTTATATTCTTAGCCAAATTTAGGAAATACTGATTTAAAACAACTCAATATTAGGCAGGTTGTCATAATTTTAAGCTAATGTATTATATGGAATTTTCCTGCGTGAATAATAGATATTACCGTACCCTGTGGCAGAGGAAGTATAAATATGAATGTTGGCAGACTATCACATTTTAGAGATGATAGCTTACCTTTTGTGTAGATTTTTTTTTTTTTTTATGGTACCTGTCCTATAAAAGCATTAGGTACCATGATGTGGAAATAAAGGCCCTCTCAGAATTAAGCAGTATTTATGTGAGGCAGATTGCATCTCTGTTTCCCTCCTTTTAGCCCAACCCAACTCTTTTCTGTTTCTTGCTCTCATTTTTTTTTTCTTATTCCCTCTGTAATGGAAATACAGAAATATAGCTTTGAATGAACTTACAACCTTGCTAAGAGTTTTAATTTTTAAATGATTTTACCTGTTAAGCATAAAATGTAAATCTTGAAAAATGGTTAGGCCTGTGGTACTGGAGTTTAGTTTTCCTTTTCAGGTTCTCAACTGGGTTAACTTTATGTGGCCCAAACATGGCAACATCTTCCACTGTGAATCTAAATCTTTTCTCTTTATTTTGTGTGCCAGCTATGAACGTAGGTGATCTTCCTATCTCAATAATTCCTGAGTCTCAATAATTCTTTATCTCTGGTCATTATAGAAGTGAGTTGGTAGATTGCTTTTGTTATTATTGCTCTCTGAATACCTTTATCTACTATTTAAAAGATCTGTTGTAGAATTGTAAAGGGGGCTGGTATGTAGCTTAATGGTATAGCACTCAGCATGTGCAAGGACTCAAAGCAAAGAAAAAAAAAATGCTCAGAACTATAGTGATTGCACTATTGTGAATAATGAGAATCTTTATTTATTTATTTATTTATTTATTTATTTATTTTATTTTTTGGCCATGCTGGGGATCTAACCCAAAAGCCTTGGTCATGTCAGGCAGACACCCTGCCACTGAGCCACATCCCTAGTCCTTGATTTTGTTTTACATTCACTTCTCAGAGGTGTTTTTCTAGTTTGTAGATGATCTAATTGGGATATTATTAGTACAGTTGGCATTTGTGCTTATTCTGTCTTCCTTCCAGAATATATTTCCATGAAGAGACTTCTCATGTGCTGAGTTGAGTATGGTAGCACACACCTGAGTATAGTAACAGCTACTTGGGAGGCTGAGGCAGGAGGAGTATTGCATGTTCAAGGCCAGCCTGGGCAACATGGCAAGAACAGTCTCAGAAAAATTAATTATAATTAATTAATTTGTTTTTACATGTTTCTTCAAATTACTGAAACTTCTGCTATTATCTTTGTGAAGTTCAAGTTGTTTATAGATTTTATCTAAAGACCAATCTGAAGGGACATCTCTTAGGAGAAGGATGTCTTTTCTTTTGATGGTAATTTTTCTCTTTGGATAAAAGTCTTATACTGTTATAAAGCAATCCAGTATTTGTTAATTGTCGCAAAATGAAGAGTCTCAAAAATACCTAAGCTAAGCTGGGCAGGGTGACAATTGGCCTATAATCCCACCTACTCAGGAGGATTGAAAGTTAGAGGCCAATGTTGACAATTTAGCAAGATGCCTTCTCAAAAATAAGAAGGGCTGGGGGTGTTGCTCAGTGATAGAGTGCCCCTGGGTTCAATCCCCAGTACTACCACCACCACTACCATAAAAAGTAAGCTGGCTTATTTTTATCTTCAAATAACTGGAACTTGTTTTAGTTCAAACCTCTAGTCTTGTTTGTCTGTCTTCTTTTTGGCAAGTCTGGTCAGTTAAAAATGAAAGATAAATCACATTGTCCTTCATCTCAAAAAATTTGCAGTGTATCCAGGCAAGACAGAAACATATGAAAAGTAAAATAAGTGTATCAAACACTACCACTCATTATTAGAGCACAGGAATGATACCTAAATTTCTAAAAGAGAGAGTTTATAATTTGTGAACATATGAGCAAATATGAGCAGGTAGAATTACCATTCTCTCTAAGGCAGAAGATATGGCCTCAGCACGTTTCTGGCATCATCTAAGAAAGGCACATACATATCTGTCTTCTACTTAGGCACATTCCATTGTGCCCTAATTCTTTTTCACATTATCATGCTTAGTCTTTATTTCTAGTGAGTATCTTTTAGATTTTCTTGAGGATATTTTTTAGAGTCCTGAGTTATATAATCAGGATAGCTGACCATTTGGGCATAGGAGTCTGATATCAAAATAGAGTCAAACTCTCAAAAGGCTTCTGTTTTTTTTTGCCATTGGAGGATGGGAAGTTGTGTTTGGTTAGGCTCTAGGAGTCAGAGTAGTTTTTCTATTTCATACCCCAAGCATTATCCCTCTCTATCTCACATTTCCCATTTCTTTCTTCCTCTCTACTCTGAGCAGACAGTAAAGTCAACTGATGGCCTCAATTTTACATATGGCATATGTACTGGTGAGATGAATTTACTATCCCATCTTGTAGCCTTCTAACCCATGGAGAGGCACATGGGTTAGCATTTCTTGGGACTGACTTTGGTCATTCCCCTTTGCACCAGGCCTTCTTTCTGGGCCCTTTTTGTTAAGCCATTCCTCTAATACCATTATTTGCCTATTTGGCTTTCTGGAACAATAAAGGCCTTTCTTCTTAAAGTTCTCATGCTTTCTGTTTCCTCCCTTCCTGAGCACTCTCTTTCTTTAATTCTACTGAAGATTATTGTTACAGAAATTGGCTTCCCAAACTATCAGGCCTCCTGAATTCTGCGTGTGTACACTATTTTATTTTTGCTTTATCCTTTTATCTCTCACAAGACCCACAGGGAAGTTGATCTTCTATTCCTTGAACTTGGTCTTGTGACAAACTTCTGCCAAACTGCCTATCCCTCTGGAAAATAAGGTTCTAAAATGGGCCCCCATTCTGTTTTCCCCTGGGAAATTGCATTATGAATTCAGAGCATATTTGTGTATTATCAGTAACCATTATCTATCTTATTGTATTGCATTGGATGGATGTAAGTTTGCACAGTTACATTTTTGTCAGACTTCTTCCTTCTCATTTGGGGATCAGTCCTCAAGACTAGCTTACTTTGGAGAAGTATGCTATAAGCTTATGTCTGTCTTTAACATTCAAGACTAGACTTAACATAAAAGTGCACCTGAAGAGCATATTTTTATATATTTTTTATGGAGATATTTTGAGAGACCATGAAAATATGAATTGGCCAGGCCATTCGAAGGTCTTTCCAGAGATCAAGTTTTAACTCTGTCTAGAACTGTTGTGTATGATTCTGAGAGATTGTGTTTTAGTTGTGAGTGATAGCATTGATGTACAACAGTTCTTGCTTAGGCTTCTACTAACCTTCACTAGTTAAAGGTCTACAGTGTTTCTGCCTGGTTGAAACTTACTAATGATACAATTTATAACAAAATGCTGGTCCAGAAAGATCTGGTCAGTGTCTATTTATTAAACTTGCTTTCTTTATTTTCATTTCAGATTTGTCCAATATGTGCAGCGTTACCTGGAGGCGATCCTAATCATGTCACGGATGACTTTGCAGCTCATCTTACACTTGAACACAGAGCCCCTAGAGATTTAATATCCTTTTAAGAGGCAACAAATAATATTTGTTATTTTGATTATTTTTAAGGACAATATCCCCAAAAGAGAAAAACTAATCTTCAAATTATTTTTATTTCTTTTACCTTTTCCTAAAAGTGACACAATGTGAAAGGCAATTTCTTCTCTTTTTATATACTTAGGATTGTTATATGAACCATATTTGTTAAGTGAAAAGTTGACTTGCTCATCATCTTTAGTTCATTACAATCAAATTTTTTAAAGACAATTTGATCTTATAGGTCTTCTGGAAAGGTGATTTCATACAAAAGAGGAAAAGTGAATCTTAATTAAAAATTTGATTAGTTAAATATACAGGGGCTTTATTTGCTTTCCCTTCTCTGTTCCTCTGCTCCCTTACCCTTTTGTGGATATGGTATAATGGCAGGTGGGGCTTCTTTCCCTTTTGGGGGTCCCTTTCTCCTGAAAGAGCCATTTCTTCTCTGAGAAGTATAAAGTTGAGTCTAGTTCTTTCCTACTTTCATTTCTGCATACTCTTCCCTTTCTTAATAGTTCTTTGCAGTATTCTTTAAGACTACTGGATTGGTTACCAGAGCAATGAATTTTGTGGACTGAATGCTTTATAACTAGAAAGTTAGGAATTGTTTTTCTAAAACTGTTACTTATTAGAATCTTTTCTTATGAAGAGGTCCCAGTGTTTACTGAAGCAATTCAAGAGCTTAATCAGAATTTTTTTCTCTTGACAGACTTTCTTTTTTTGATTGTCCTATGGCAGTCAAAATCCAACCTAGGACCTTTTAGAAAAGAAAATGGTGATTTTTTTTCTCATTCTACAGTTCTCTTGCTTACAGTTCCCAATTTTCTAATTGGGATTATAGCTTTTTAGATTTAGGGGGAAGATATGTGGGAAATAATTGAAAGATGAAGAAATGGTATAAGCCTGCAAAATTAGAAACCTGAGCCAGTCTAGGATCTGGTAGTCAATGAACAGAGGAAACCACTGAGACCTTTCTCTCTCCTCCTGTGCAGGGGACACTGAAAGCAGCATGAAGAAAGCAGTGATTTAATTTTTTTATTTTTCAGAGAATGAAAAAACTCCAGATGGGGTGAGAATACTTAAAGTCTTTCAGTTACTATGCATTTTGTATAAAAGAATACTTTACAATATCCAGAAGGGTTATACTTGATACATACTTCACTCCATCTTCATGGAGAGATGAAACAAATTATTTAAAATCAAGGAGATATCCTGAAATTTTCAGCATATTCTAGAGATTCTAGTAATATTGGTGTTCATTCAATGGAATATTCCACATTATCTACATCTATTTTTTTACACAATTTTAATAAATGTCTTTGGTTACCAAGAAAAGATGAAATTATGCAAAACATAAGAATAATGTTATATGTTTTTTGATTTCTTAGAAAACAAAATGTTGCCATGGCAATTATCCCGAAAACATGTTCATTTTTCAGATATTTCCAATGTTGTTATGTAAGTTCATATTCGATATCGGGGTATCTTCTTTCTTTACCTCTTAAGCACCAGACTTTTTTTTTTCCTTTCTCACCGTGTTGATGGATATCTTCCTAAAGTACACTCTACCTCCAGCTACTTTTTTTCAGTTGAGGATCCAGGGGGCATAATGGTCAACTAAGAATTCATCCCCAGCCCTTTCAATTTTTTATTTGGAGACATTTTGCTAAGTTGCCCTTGCTGACCTAGGAACTTGTTAATCCTTCCTCAGCCTCTTGAGTATCTGTGGTTCCAGGTGTGCACTGTCCCTGGCGTGCTTTTAAATATACTGATAATAATATCACTTTCTATGGAAACCAAACCATAGTTATGAATGCCAATAAGAAACTACATGACAGTGGTATCCTGATGGCTTTGTGGAACCCTTCACTTATCCTTAAATGACTCCAAAACCATCAGCTGAAAAACTGGGAATCAGTAACACATTCTACATTATAAAGCTATTCTATTTGCTACTTTGAAAGAAAAGTTTCTTCTATAATATTTGGCTTCCTACCCTCAACATTCACACACAATTGCCCATGTGGAAACACAAGGTTGTCATTTTCAGTTTTGATAGCTATTTGCTACTTCAAATTGACTCACACTCAGCTGTGTGAGATGGGTTCCACTGTTGGAAATCTGATTCCTTGATAAATACATGCTTTTCTCTCTATGGTCCACTGACAAAAGAAACTCAAGAAAAAGTTGAAGACAAAGATTAAAACTAATAATCAAATGTAGTCTTTCACCTACTGAATTCATAACTGTTCCTTTTTTTATTTTAGATGATAATGATTCAATGATTATATGTTAATACAGCTCCTCAAATATAAAACTGACTCTCATTAATTGTGGTTACTTGAATGTAAGCATGTATAAAATTCAGTACTGAGAACAGGATAAGGGAATGTTCATTCACCTTGGGTATTTAACCAGGCAGTGTCTTTGACTTCATTTGGCAGCATTACTCTGGAGCCTGGGAAGAAATTCCTGTCCCTGCAGAGAATCTTTTTAAACTTTGTGCTTGTGCTTGCCTGCACTAGCATGCATACAAACACCCAAACAGTTACATAGGCACCATGCTTTATACTTGAGTATATTTTTAGCATTAATAGGTTTCCTAGAGTTGGGACATTTACATTCTCCTGGTTTTTTTTTTTTTTAATTCTTTCTTTTAGACAAGAGTTTCACTAATTTGCTCAGGCTAGCCTCAAACTGTGATCCTTATGCCTCAGCCTCCTGAAGAGCTGGCATAAAAGGCATGTATTGTATCATATAGCTACTGTGTTCTAAATTAAATGTGCTATTTTAAAATGCTGGCAGCTTAGGAATTAATTCCTGTCTAGCAAGGGCTGATCTTTCTTTTTAATTTCTGTGAAATATTTGATCCTTTTCTTAACTTTTGAGTTATGATGAATCGAGTGGTGTTCGACATGTACGTAGAATGTTTCACCCTGGCCGGGGATTAGGAGGTCCTCGTGCTCGTAGATCAAATATGCACTTTACTAGCAGTTCTACTGGTGGACTTTCTTCTTCTCAGAGTTCATATTCTCCAAGCAATAGGGAAGCCATGGATCCTATAGCTGGTAAGTTAGTTTCACCTTCATGAAGGAAATAACGGGAGCTCATTTTAAAATGTTTTATGTGATCTTTGTCTTTCCTCTCAGATAATATGCTTATGTTTTTTAATAAAATTCCCAAATATTTATAAACATGAAAATTGTTTGTTATTCATGCATGTAGTACTATGATTCAAACCAGGGCCTCACATATGTTAGGCAAGTGCTCTACTGTTGAGCCACACCCTCATCCCCAAATGTAAAACTACTTTAGTAGTTTGCATTGGTCTGCATTTCTCTTAAGTCCTTAGGGGCATAAGATAATATAGAAAGGCCTAATGTGGTATTTATGGTTTCTATTGAAGCCCAAGAAAATCAGAATTCCATGGTTCAACCTCTAGAAGTACACAGATTAAAAAAACTAATTGACAATACTAAACAATAAAGCTTTTTCTCATGGAAGAAAGTAGGAATTTCTCTGTTCTAGCCTTAATTTGAGAACCATATTATTGTGGAACACAGTTAAGGGAACATTTTTTAATAGTTTGGGGAAATCTGAGAATGACAATATTTTAGCCTGTAGTTCCTGGCTAACTCACTGAGTCTAGGGAATGAACAACCTGGAAAGATGGCAGCAGAATACAAGGGTCAGAATAAAATGTCAGAAATCACTATAGCCAGAGAATCTGCAAGAAATCTCAAGCATACAGGCAATAAGATTCTGGAAGACCCTGCAGATTTAAAACAACAGTATAGAAATGTGTACATGTGGTAGAATATGTATTTAGAAACTGTGATGTACCTTATAGAATTCCTGAAATATTGATACATCTAAATAGGCGATAGACATGCAGAGCAGTTTTACTCATAAAATGCTCTTAAAAATGGAAGATGTAGGCTGGGGTTGTGGCTCAGTGGTAGGGCACTTGGCCTAGCACATGTGAGTAGTTTGATCCTGGATTTGATCCTCAGCACCACATAAAAATAAATTTAAAAAAATAAAGGCATTGTGTCCAACTACAAATAAAAAATAAATATTTTTAAAAAAATTTTATAATTTTATAATTCCAGATGTGCTTTGGACATTTAGATGTAGAACAACAAAAACAAACCTAGTGAACTGAGTTTTGGGGATTTGAAATTACCCTTTAGAGCCTTTTATAGAGGCTCTAAAGGGTAATTTCTGGAAACAAAAATCAGAATTCAGAAATTCTCTCCATTACTTTGATTTTTTGAGGGGGAGGTGGTCAGGGGAAATGATAGTCTATATTTCATTAAATGGCAATGTTAAAAATCTGGGATAAAGCACCCATGAGCAAGAAAACAAACTGACCATGTTAGTTAGTTTTAATGATAAATCAGAGGCTTTGTTGGCCTGAGAGCATCTGTGAGATAATGGTCATTCTCTGGTAAGCTAGATACTCCATGGAAGATGGTAATTACTTTACTCTCCTTAGATGAGAACACAGGGATAAAGGTCTACATTACTCTTGATCACTATAACCTTACTGACAGAAGACAGTCTGGATTATAACAGACTAAATAGATCACCCAGTCAGGTGCTGCAGGTTTCCTGGAACTTATTGAGCCCTACTGGTGGCATTCTAGTACTCTGGCAGGACCAGAAAGTACCAGAGAGAAGGCAAAGGTGAGTGAGCAAGGGTCACAGTCAGAAATGCTCTAGGCTCTTGGGTTTAATTCTAATAATTCCTTCAGTTATTTGAAGGAAGCAAACCATGTGAATTCTCAGTATGTGTCAGGCTCTGTTCTGAGAGATGGAAATATAGTAAACAGAGTATAACTTGTTCTCTCTTCTTGTGGAACTTAGTAATACTGAGAGGGCTTATATTATAATTGGACCTTTAAGTAAACTGCTTTAATCTACTAAATTTTTAGAGGAAGTTTACATTAGTACTCGATATAAATAATTTTAAAAAATAGTCTCAAGTTTTGCTGAGAATAAAAATAATAGTGTGTAACGTTCATGTTTTTTTGCATTCCTGTACACAGTAATTTCTGCCTCCAAGAGACATTCTAAAAAGTATTGCACTCTTAGATGAACTACTTGTTGATACTACTTTTTATATTCTCCCAATAAAAATATCATCTGTAGCATATTTTTTTCTTTGTTAAGTAGATTTTGATCATCTTCATTTTCATTTGCAGAGCTTTTATCTCAGTTATCAGGAGTGAGACGTTCTGCAGGAGGACAGCTTAATTCTTCTGGCCCTTCCGCTTCTCAGTTACAACAACTGCAGATGCAGCTGCAGTTAGAACGGCAGCATGCCCAGGCAGCACGGCAACAACTGGAGACTGCACGCAACGCAACCCGGCGTACTAACACAAGCAGTGTTACCACTACAATCACACAATCCACAGCAACAACCAATACAGCAAATACAGAAAGCAGTCAGCAGACTCTCCAGAATTCACAGTTTCTTTTAACAAGGTAGCTCCTTTATTATTATAATTTTTTTTTGGGAGAATGAGTATTTTATTGGTACTATACAGTCTAAAACTTCTTCTTTTGAGCTTTCCAATTAAAACTGCATATTTAGTATTTCCCCCAAGATTTTGAAACATAGTTATTACGTTAGATAAACTAAGAATGCTCATCTTCTTCTCAAGGTGTACATCATCATCTAATACGAATTTTGTTTTCCATACTATACATAAGACTTAAAACACCATATATCATTTTATAGATGGGCATATTAGGTACATATTTTATCATAATTAACATTTCTTGCTTCTACTTGCCAATTTTAGTCAGTTGTGAAGTATTAAAAGGTACAGAAGACTTCATCATATAGTAGTTTTCTCCTGTGAATTTCTAAAGAAGCTATATTTAAATTCTTATGGTTAATGCACAGAAGTAACCATTTTTTAAAAATGGTGTATCACAGTAAAAGTAATATTTATTACAGACAGTAAACCATTCCACTGTAAGAGTAGTGGTGACCAGAGTCTTAGGTGCAGTAAATAACAAACCTGGACCAACTGGGCTTTTAATGTAACAGAGAGGAATATACAAATCATAAAGCGAAGGACATTAATGTATAACATAGCTCTCTCAAACTCATTGTGTCTGATGGTGTATTGATTTCTTCAAACGAAGAAACTATTAAAATATCTACTTATATTTCTTTTATCTCACATTAAAAAATCTGTTAGTACAATGGTACATGTGTGTACTTATAAAGAACATATTGTGGATTTGAAATAAAAAGTGTTTGAGGACCCTGGTCTATAGCCCTGACTTTGCTATTTACTAGGTTTGGGCTTTGTTACTTAACTAGTTTACTATTGTCAATATCCCAGGATTTTTGCCACATGAGAGAATTAAAGAGGATTAAATGCATTGGTAGACATTATCATCATTTATTATGGATCTAAGAAGGAAGTCTCATGTGAGGAATTTACCTTTGAATTATCTCTGCAGTGTCAGTAACTGCCTGCTTATTACCAGAAAAATTTTATTATAAGAAAATCAGAGCCATAGGTGGATCTACCAACTGCTATATAGTATTACCTGTTAGAGATTAACCAATAGTAAGTTTGTAACTTGTCATCCGTAGGCTCTTAAAAACTGGAAAAGGAGACCAACCTGTGTCTTTATTCACTGAGAGTTCACTGAACTATGAGTAGAAATTCTCACCAGCACCTCTTTTAAAAAGATGTCTTCCTGCCCCCACCCCTTATTTTCCCATTGTCTTTTAGCCCCAAACTACTAAGTGGGCTTGGTCTGGAATTTTTATTCTATATTGGACATCCTGCTCCTAGGGTGCCTCTGAGTACTTTCCTTGGATTTGAATTGTCATTTTTAAAAGACACCCCATATCATCTGAACATGCATGTTGGATAGTATCTTGTAGTTTGCAGATCATTTCTCACATCTTTTATTATATAATTTGATGTTGACTTACTTGATTTATCTAAGACAGTCTTCCCCCCCCCCCCCAAAAAAAATCACTAGGATTTTACATATTCTGAGGAATTTATAGTTATTTATTTATTTTTTCTTGTTATAAGTTTGGGGAAAACTAATTAATAAAAAGAAAGTTTATTTGCTGTTGGGCTCCTAAGAACTTCAGATACATTATAACATACATTATAAATATTTAAGGCAAGGAAAACATGTGCAATACTCACAATGGAATTCCTGGTCTCACAAACACCAGCTAATTATGATATATGTAGGGCCTTATCTTTGTTCTCTCTCTTCTTTGACCAGGGGCAGTTTCTATTCATCTTGCCTTGAAACTGATGGTGTGGACAGTTTCTTGGGGGCTCTAAGGGAGATGACCTTTTAGAAACTTATGAAGTGTGTATGTTCAGGCTTTTGGTGCTAGGGCCAGCTAGTTTTGCTGTCCCAATATGAAGATTCTCACAAGTTTGCAGTTCCTTTGGACCCAAATCAAGTTTGTCCATCGGGAGATCAAGCCCTAATACCAGATTTTATCTGCCCTTCAAGAATGAGGCATGTTCGTAGTTATTTCCCTGAAAATCAAAACAGTAATATTGGAATCACATGCTCTACAAAGTGCCAAAGTCTTCAACCTATGTATCTTGTAATTTGCTTGATACTGACTACGTGGTCTTATGTATATCATCTGTATTTCTATTACAGATATGACTTCTGTAGATTTTTTTTTTTAAAGAACCTTTTTCAAAGCTAGGAACATATAATACATTTCACTTCTTAACAAATCTCTAGTTTTGGATTGAGAACATGTACATTACTGTTCAATTTCCATTTGTTTTCCATTCCCTGGTGATATTAATTTGATTTTAACTATGTATATTACCAATCATTTTATTTCAATGTGATTCGGTGGCTTTTATATAATTACTTCCAAATACTTTTGTTTTCTTTAATTTCTGAAATTTAAATCTTTTTATTTTTTGAGCTCTAGAGCTAATCTTTCAGCTTTTAACTTAATAGTTATGAGATTTTGAGCAAGTTACCTATTGTTCCTTATTCCTTGTTCCTTAACTTTTTACCAATAAGGTTTTTTCTTTTTAACCTATTCTCTGTTTCAGTTTTCCTTAAAATGTTGATAATATGTCTGATAGCAGTTAAAAGATTTAATATACACAAAAGCACTTAGAACATACCCTGATCCATACTACTGCCATTATGATTTTTGAATGCTTCTGGCCTTTCAATAGGAAGTGAGAGCTGGTTAGCAAGCATCATGGAGAATATCTGTCTCGCAGCTTGGGTACCCCTGGGCACCTGTCATGCATACCTGTCACACATGCATGCCTCTCAGCTGTCCCCATCTTTTCTCTGTTTTGCTACTTTTCCTGATCCCAGTGTTCCAGCTGGTTTCCCTTTCTTTCTTAGCCACTAAAAGTGTAGACAAATAATATTACTACTGAAACTAAGTAAAATTTCACATATTTATTGGAGAATTACATTTTAAAATCATTTTAACAAGATAGTAGCAAGTGTTAACCTAGAATTTTCTATTAACATCTGTCCAGGCCTTGTATAGATAAGTCAGGTTTTCCAGCATAGCCCAGAATTCAGGAATGCATGCTTCGCTGAGCATCATGGGCAAGTGGACCTCATATCGTCCCTATCACACTTGGGTTTTTAGTAGAGAAAGTGAGGACAATGTGTTTTCTTGCTCTCTTAGGTTTTTGGACGTAACTTATTTTGGGAGGAATTAGTTGGAAGTAATTAAAGTCAGGAGAAACTTTAGGATTTTCTTAAGTGAGTATCCTGGTCATTATAGATTTTGATTGTGTGAGTAGGGTTGCTGCTTTCCTTTTTTAACATCTCACAGGTGAAATTCTGGGTAGAGAAATCACTATTTCCTCCAGCTTTTATTCTTTTAGAAACATTGTTTTTTCAGAAAAAAAAAATTGCCCTTGTTTTCTCTAGAGGGAGTGGAAGTCTAAATGTCGTCCCCCTCCTCCAATTGTATCTAATAAAGGCATAATTTTGCAACTCAGGGTAATAGTAGTATTGCTAAAAGTATGTGAAATTCATCTGAATATAACTAAGGTAACAATTTAGAGCAAGGTGTTCTATTTATACATCTTAGAGTCTGAATGCTGTCACTTATAAAGCTTGCACAGTGGAAGACATTATTGAAATTTGTCATGCCATTGTTCCTTGACTTTTTACCAATAAGGTTTTTTTCTTTTTAACTTACACAGGTTGAATGATCCTAAAATGTCTGAAACAGAGCGTCAGTCCATGGAAAGTGAGCGTGCAGACCGCAGCCTGTTTGTCCAAGAGCTCCTTCTGTCCACTTTAGTGCGCGAAGAGAGCTCGTCCTCAGACGAGGATGAACGGGGGGAGATGGCAGATTTTGGTGCTATGGGCTGTGTAGATATTATGCCTTTAGATGTTGCTTTAGAAAACCTAAATTTAAAAGAGAGTAATAAAGGAAATGAGCCTCCACCACCTCCTCTTTGATGACATCCCAATTCGCAGACAATGTCCTCTGTGCTGTATTTGCCAATGAAAGTGGACAACAACTATCTTGGGTTTGTTTGGTGATTGTAATTTCAGGTCTGTCACTCTTGTTACATTGTGTACATTCAAAAGGAAGAGAGAAAATATATATGATAATCATTTCCACTTAACTAATTTTTACTTCTAGCAGGTAAATGTAGGTAGCAGTGCAGGAGTGATCTCTGCTTCCTGTACCTTGACATGCAAAAGGCTCTCCTAATACTCCACATTCAAACTGAAGAGGAAAATTGAAATCTCTAATGAAGCTGCTGTGTGTATTTATGAATATTAATGAATAAAAACTGCTTGGATGGTTTACCTTAACTACTGCATGAGGTTTTTTGCAGCGTGCATGAGTTTTAGTGACCTTGTTATTTAAAAAATTAAATACAAGGAGTAAAACTTAAAAAACAAAGCCCAAAGCTTTCCTAAACATTATTCAATGGTTACGGGACAAAGTAGCTTTTGAATAATGTCTGCCTGAATCACCTTTCTTTGTGTGCCTCCTACTCACAAAGCCAGCTCTGCAGTGGAATCTGGGGTTGTATAGCCAGATGTGGCGCTCCACCCTCTGTGACTGTCCTGTCGCCCTGTTAGTCATCTTACCTGTGTGGAGCCCAGCCTGACTCTTTAAGTTATCTGTAGAAGACACAACAGTAAAGCTACTGTCAGAATCTGCTGCAGGGCCGTTTGTGTGCCCTAAAAACAAATCCTGTTTATGTTTGTTTAAAAGTTTTTACTTTTTGTGGTGGTTTAAATTTTTATTTGATTGTTAAATATGTTTCATTCAGGTATAGATGAATTTCATTTATTCACTGTTCAACAAAGTTAACCTGAATTATGTTGTCTTTGTTTTTGAAATTCTCACATTCTCAATCATATTTTGTGTTATTTATGAATTTGCTTTGTATTTTGCTGAGACAGATCAGTATCAGAGGAGCTTTGAGGATTTGCCTTCCCAGGTTGTATCATGATATTACAACCAAATTCTTAATGCTAACTTTAGCACCTTTTATTTATTGTTTTTTTTTCTTTGCTGGCATAAAAAGTAAAGCCTTTTAATTGAATCATGCCACCTATATGCCTATATTATTAATCCTATATGTAAAAAAATGTACAGCTTTTTGGGGTTTGTTTTGGATTTGAGGGGCCGGGTTATTTTTTATTTTGTGTTTCAATTTTTGTGCATAGACTTTCACAATAGCTCCAAGGCAGGGACAGTGGGTTTGGGGGAAGGGGGGCAGTTTTTGGAATGTAAATTTAGGACTTTTAAAAAAGGTGCGCACAGCTTCTGATAAATTTATACCTAGACTTAACCTAATCATGTCTTGTTCCAGTTCTCTTTTCTCTGAGCCCTTTTCTTGGTCTCCTCTCTCTCCATCCTTGTCCTTTCCTGTCTTCGTTTCTCTGTTTCTTCAACATGACAAGCATACAGACTTGAACACCCTGCAGTGTTCTTCCGAGAACTGTGAAGTCCATGTTCATCCAAATGTACCAAAAAAGAAGTCACCCTCCATGTCTAAAAAACTGTTGCTTCTCTGAAACTTCAGACTCCAGTGATTTCCAAGTATAATAGCTTTGTTTCTGTAACAAAATGTTTTGAAAGAAAAATTTACACCAGGCTTCTTAGTTATACTAAAAGTCCAGTAGGGATTTTCTTCTCTCTCTTTTTTTTTTTTTAATTGGTTGTTGAGAAGTTTAAAATCCACTTTTCAAGCTGTCGTCTTTTCAAACACATCTTCTGCACATAAGTCACACATTTCAATAAAGCATTTTCAAGACTGTTGACCACTTGAATTTCTTTGGTGTTGTTGAATTAGCCTAACCTTTTCTCAGAGATTTTATATCTCAAATCAAGTATTTTTCTCTCTTTATGCTAAACATGGAGATCCTGATTTGTGTGAATGCAGTACTTTGGATGTGAGAAAGAAATTGCCAATTATGTGCTTTCCCTTTTCTGCACAAATTCTTGGAAATGTAAGATCCTCCATTTTCTAACATGGATTTAGGGAACAACTGTAAGTCCATTCAGGGCAGTTTAATTTAGTTGATCAATTTAACACTTAAAAAGATCTAGAGATTCTTAAGATTCCATCTCATGTAGAATACTGTATATTATTTTTATCAGATATTTTACAAATACCTCACCTCATCCTGTATGTAATCAATAATAATGTATTATTTTAGAGTAGAAAGACATAGAATATCAATATAAAATATATTTAAGCCCTTCAAATTCTTGTGTCCTTTTTCTTTAGTTTCTGAATCAACATCATATTATTGGATGTACTACTGAATAAAAATAAATCATAGAGACTTTGATGGAGAGAAGACATAATTGAACGTCACTATTGTTTATTTTGGCTACACCTTCAAATTTCTGAGGACCATTTTGAGTTTTGAGAGGTTTAGTTTTATTGAATTTTGAGTGTCTTTAAGTTTGTAAATGTTCTATGGTGCTTGTTATTTCCTATTTGGAAATAATTTTTCTGCCCAAGGTGTTCTGGTGTTCTGGAAGTAGTTTTAACTTATTAACTTAGAGGACTCTCCCCCCAACGCGCCGCGCACACACACACGCACACACAAATTATACTGAACAGTGGAATTTACATAGAATGTTTGACAACTGTATTTGTTTTTGTGTGATTTATATAACGGAATATGCAGTGTATTTAAGAATCCTGCTAAACTATGTGAAGAATATCCATGGGCAATTAGAAAACCATGAAATAGCTTTCTTGAATTCCATTTACTTTCTTTCCTAAAAATTTTCAACTCTTCTAATACATACCCCTGCTTTCTTTTATGGCCACAATCATAAAATTTCTGTGGTTGGCTATAGTGAAATCTTCAGATTTAGATTTAAGTTGCATTGTTGTTTTAATTCACAGAATTAGAATCTAGACTTGGTAGTAATAAGATAGTGGATTTTTATTTCAGGTAAGGTAAGTTTTGTCCTTGTTGTCTCAAATGTAGTTTAGAATAGTTATATTAGTAGAAAAATAGAAGAATTCATCCCATTGCTGCTCCCTCCTCCCCTCTCGATATTTCATAATATATATTTTTTCAGTAATTATTTAAAAAAATTTAAGGTCATTAAGCCTATTAAATTTTTCTGGTCGGTGAGCCATAATTAAAAATAAACAAACCACAACCAAATAACAAAAGCCCAACAGGTTCTCAACAAGAGTTCTCACAGCAGGGCTGGGATTGTAGCTCAGTGGCAGAGCACTTGCCTCCCATGGGTGATGTACTGAGTTTGATCCTTAGTACCACATAAAAACAAAGTTATATTGCCCCATCTACACCTTGGAGGGGGATCCCAACAGATCCTAGCTTTAGTTCCCAGGAAAAAGATTCACCCCTCTTAGCAAGTTCTCCACTTCATATATTTTACTTCCTGGCTATTAAGACAGGTACTGTCTTCAATTGTTCATAATTCTTTTAAAGGATAAATGAGGAAATTGGGTGGGGATAGGGATGGTATATGGTATGGAGAGGATAAGGTAGCATGAAAGTTTATGAGTTTTTGTTTTTGTTTTTGTTTTGGTGGTACTGGGGATGGAATTTAGGGCCTTGCCGTGCTAGGCAATCTGAATGGGCTTCCAGCAACTAAGGGGGTTTACTCTGAATACAAAATTGTCTGTTGTAATTGGTTGTTATTACAGCCTTGTTACACAGGTATGCCAGGAAGAAAGCTATCCACGTATAATGGAGGAGTGGATGTTAGGAGTTCAACAAATGTATCTATTTTGTAGGAAAAAGCTGCACAGCAATATGTACTACATACGAGACATTTGTTGTATGTCTTAATTATTTGCGTGTTCAGTTTTGGGGATCCATGCAGCATTGATTTCATGTGCAGTGAAATAAAATAGTGGGTATGAAATTGCCCTAGAATTCTATGCAAAAGTTGATGTATGCTGGAAAAGGTAATGGTTGTCTGGGTTCTTTCACCTGAACAATTTTAAAATATTTCCCTGAGATGGGAGGAAAGGGGATGTGTGAATTAACATTACTAATTGAGGCCCTGTTTCAGTTTGGAATGGGGAGATCAGGATTGGAATGCAAGTTGGAGCAGCCTTTTGCAGTCTTTCTAGGGGTGTGTGTGTGTGTGTGTGAGAGAGAGAGAGAGAAATATATGGCATTACACATGACTAATCTGTATAAATCACAGTATTCTAAAGTCAGATTTAAATTACTTTGTTTTTCAGAGCAGTGTAAAAATCTACTTGCATATGTCTATTAGCTTCAATCATGCGGAAGCAGCGTTCCTTTCTAATAAGTACTCTTGGAACTCTGGTTCCTATAGGTTTTATTATTTTTATTATTTATTATCTGTCAAATAATATTCTGTAAATACCTCGGCTGCAGAATTTCTTAAATAAGCAACAAACTTCACATAAAAGATACGATGTTTAGGTGATCAAAAGATTATTCTTCCAGAGAATTCTATGAACCTCAAGTCCATGTTACATTTTAATCAGGGGCTATCCAGTCGGTGGTGCCTTGGTTGGGTTTGAGTTCTTAAGGTTTCTCTGAAGTCCTCAGGTTTTACAAAGTCAGTTGACCTTACAGCAACTAGTTTAAATTAAACAAACAACAACAACAAAAAAAAAACCCAACATGAAAAAGGGCCCTTGAGTCTGTAAATCTGGCCACGCAGATAATGTGTGGGTGTTGAGTGTTTTGTGTGTTTGATTAGAAAAAACCCTGTGGGCCAAGTGTGCATAGATCGTCCAGGCTGCTCCACAGGCCTAGATGATTTCTCTTCTTACTAAGATGTTACCAGCTGGGTGTGATGGTGCACAACTATAAACTCAGTAACTCTGGGAGGCTGAGGCAAAGGATTGCAAGTTTGAGGTTAAACTCAGCAGCTGAGACTAATTAAAAAATACGAGGGTGGGGAATGTAACTTATTGTTAAAGCACCCCTGAACCACAAAATCTCCAGTGCCACAAAGCAAAACAAAAACCCTTTACCAGGCACAGGACATCTAGTCTGGACTGTGTTCATTACTTTGGTATAAGCTAGTATCATTTTCAACCTTCACTTTTTGCAGACATCCCCTGTAAGAGAATTCTTCAAAAACAACTTTGTAAAGGGGCCTTTCTCCCTTCACAGGTAACTAAGTCTATTGCTTGAGATGATCAGTCTGATCTGATGAGAACTACATTAGAATGAAACTTTGAAATTCCATCTCATACGTGACAAGTCAGGAAACTGGCACAAAAACAAGATACCTCCCATTCTGTAAACTGGATAGAGTGCAGCTTTCAGATAGCCTGATCACACCTTGTCTATAAGGTGACTTGAGGCAGGTG